CAGGTGCAGGCTTCGCAGAAAGAGCCTGGCGGGGAGCTGACCCTAGCGTCTTAAGCTTCCATACCCAGCCTAAGGAGGGAGGGAAGGAGGGAGGAGTGGCTGTGGCTCCAGATAATAAGGGCTGGGGCCAGGCCCTGGGGGGCATAACTGGCCTGAGATAACCTGAAAGACCTGAGGCGGAGGAGAGTCCATCACATTCCAGGGAGACTGCGGGCACACACACACACAAACCACATGCACGTGCGTACACACACACTCAAACACACACTACACACACACGGACACAGCCTACATATGTGCGCACACACACAGCATGTGCATGCACACCCACACCACACCACTTAAGGGGATACACACAGCCTACACACGCATACACCCACACCATATACACACTACACACCGGGACAAACGGACTATGCACACGCACACACATACACACACACACAGACACATACACGTACACACGCGGGCCTGCGGCTCTGAAAGGACTCATGACTTCGGTGGCAGGAGGAGCTGGTGGGGCCCAGCCAGTGGGCGGGGCCAGGGGAGGGGCGGGCAGGTAGGTGCAGCCGCTCCTGGGAGGACCTTGCGTGGCCAGACCGTGCTGGTGACTTGTCCACACTGCTCGCTGCAGATACTCCAGGCGTCTCCCGTTGCGGCTGCTCCCTGCTTTAGAGGCCAGCCTTGGACACCTGTTGCCCCTTTCCAGCCCGAATTCTGGGGTCCTTCCCTCTGAACCAACATCTGGGTCCTGCCTTCGACACCACCCCTAGGCTTCCTACCTTGTGCACCTGGAGTCTGCCCCAGGGGCCCTTGTCCTGGGCCATGGTCCAGAATGGGGTCCTGGGGCCTGGGCAGCTGGGGGCTGTGGCCATTCTGCTCTATCTTGGATTATTCCGGTCGGGGACAGGTAAGTGAAGACGTGGCGGCGGGGTGGGGACAATGCACAGGAGGAAGTCAGCGTGATCATTTTCTGGGGTGCGCCCTTGTCTGGGGCCCAAGAAAACCCACGGCCTCCCTAGCTCTTGGCCTCCCTTTCCCACCTCGGCTCTGCCAGGGAAGGGGCCAGCCCTCTGGAGCAGCGGTGGGTGCTAAGGGGTCAGGGAACCCGAGTCTTCCCTACTCACCCCTCCTCTTTCTTTCTTTCTAGGAGCGGAAGGGACAGAAGGTGAGACTTTCCTCAGAGAGGGAGGAGGGGAGGGGGAGGTGACTTGGATCGGATTCCCCTGGGGTTTAACAAGTGCCTGGCCTTCGGCTGGGCTGCCTTCCAACTAGATTCTCTTAGGGCTCCCAGAGTGGGGGGTTGTAGCCCTCACCTTACGGGCAGAGAAGCAGGGACTTGCCCAGGGCACACTGCCAGTGAGGGTGCAGCTGGGATTCAGATCCACGTCTGACTCCCAAAGTGAGGCAACTGAAGTGATTTTTTTGGTTTGGTTTTGTCTTTTGAAACAGGGTCTGGGTCTGTCGTCGCCCAGGCTGGAGTGCAGTGGCACCATCACAGCTCACGGCCCGCTCAGTGATCCAGCCTCCCAGGCTCACGTGATCCTCCCACCTCAGCCTTCCTAGTGGCTGGGACTACAGGTGCATGCCACCACGCCCAGCTAATTGTGTTTTTTTGTTTTTGTTTTTATTTTTGGTAGAGATGGGGGTCTCACTATGTTGGCCAGGCAGGTCTTGAACTCCTGGGCTCAAGCGATCCTCCTGCCTCAGCCTCCCAAAGTGCTGGGATTATAGGTGTGAGCCACCGTTCCCATCCTCGAGGTGGTTTTGTGGGAACCAAACCAAGGGTCTCCTTTCTTGGAAGGCACCCAACTCGGTTCTGAGTCAGACCAGCTTTCAATCCTGGCTTCCCCATGCACTGGCTCTGTGTCATTGACCAAGTCCCCCCACTTTTCTAAGCCTTAGGCTCCGCACCTCTAAAATGAAGCTGGTCATGTCCGTCTCCTGGGGCTGTGGAGAGGATGCAGGGAGATGAGGAAACGAAAGCCCCTCCCAGGCCTGGCACAGCCGCTAGGCTCTCTAAATAGTGGCTATTGTCATGATGATAAGGGAGAGGAGGATCCGGTCTGCAGTTTTCTCTGCTCTTAGAAGACTTTGTGAAGAGCAGTTGGGTTCCACTCCAAACAGTGGCCTCGATGGGGTTGGGGCTGGGGCTGCCCTGGAAACTAGACATTCACGTCACGGGAGCCCAGTTCTGCTGTTGGTTTGTTGAACACATGTCCACGATGCCACGGGCACTGCGGACATGGGACTCTGCCCCTAGGGAACACCCAGATTGGTGTGGTGGAAACAGACACAGTTGTGGACTCCGGAACAATTGTGAGATTGGGTAGCTTCGGGGAGCACGGTGGAGGTGGGGAGGTACTGGACTCAGAGGCAATGCCCAACTCAGCCAGCAGGAGCCCGCCTGTCTACGGAGGGGCTGCTGTTCCAGTCAAGCATCCACAGGCAAAGGGAAGTTTGCCAGACAGTAAGGATGGGGAAGGGCATTCCAGGTAGAGTGACCTGGATCAGCCAAGGTCCCAGGTAAACAAGTGCGTGGCCTGATGTACATGACTGAAGGGTCCAGAGGGGACGACCAGGTCCGATGGCAGTGCCATGGTTGTCTGGAATGTTATCTTAAGGGCCGCGTGGAGCCAGGGAAGGGTTTAAGCAGGACAGTGGCCTGGTCAGATTGGGGATTTTCAGACACAAGTAAGGGGCGGGATGGACAGAAGGCTTGCAAGGAGGGAGGCTGCCCTGAGACCTGAATTAGGTAATGGGTAGTGAACAGAAGGGGCAGAACTGCCCACACCTGGGAGGGAACAAAGGGGTGCTGACTCCTGTGAACCCACTTCCCAAGCTCTGTATCGGAGCTCCTGGGCTGCGTAGGAGTGGCCAGGCTAACAACCTGACCCCTTCCTTTCCTCCCTGGGCAGCCCCCTGCGGTGTGGCCCCCCAAGCACGTATCACAGGTGGCAGCAATGCAGTCCCCGGTCAGTGGCCCTGGCAGGTCAGCATCACCTATGACGGCGTCCATGTGTGTGGTGGTTCTCTCGTGTCTGAGAAGTGGGTGCTGTCAGCTGCTCACTGCTTCCCCAGGTACCAAACGGTGAAAGTCAAAAGTGGGTTGGAGGTCAAAGTTCATGGGTCAATCCAGATCAGAGGTTGGGGTTCTTGGGTTGGGTCTGAGAGTGTCAGTTAAGTCTGGAAGGACCAGTTAGGAGTGAAGGTGAGGGGTCAGAGGTTACAGGATAAAACTAAGGTGCAATTTGAGACCTAAAAGGGGCTGATCGGAATCAGGGGTTCGCAGCAGGGGTTGGGGAACAAGGAGAGGTCTCCTCGGTCTCAGCCTTTGCCGCCTGCCCGCAGCGAGCACAGCAAGGAATACTATGAGGTCAGGCTGGGAGCCCACCAGCTGGACTCCTACTCTGAGGACATCAAGGTCAGCACCGTGGAGTACATCATCCCCCACCCCAGCTACCTCCAGGAGGGCTCCCAGGGTGACATCGCACTCCTCCAACTCAGCAGCCCTGTCACCTTCTCCCGCTACATCCGACCCATCTGCCTCCCTGCAGCCAACGCCTCCTTCCCCAACGGCCTCCACTGCACTGTCACTGGCTGGGGCCATGTGGCCCCGTCAGGTGAGGTGGGACGCTGGGTGCCTAGAAGCGTGGAGGGGCAGCTGACTCGGGGAGGGGCCCAGAGTAAGCCTCTTTTGCCCCCACAGTGAGCCTCCTGGCACCCAAGCCACTGCAGCAACTTGAGGTGCCTCTGATCAGTCGTGAGACGTGTAACTGCCTGTACAACATCAACGCCAAGCCTGAGGAGCCACACTTTGTCCAGGAGGACATGGTGTGTGCCGGCTACGTGGAGGGGGGCAAGGACGCCTGCCAGGTAAGCACAGGCCCGGGGGGGCAGATAACCAGTGCAACTTGGGAAAGGAGGCCTGGCCGGGTCCTGATGGCTGCTGTGTGGCTTCTCTCCTCAGGGTGACTCTGGGGGCCCACTCTCCTGCCCTGTGGAGGGTCTCTGGTACCTGACGGGCATTGTGAGCTGGGGCGATGCCTGTGGGGCCCGCAACAGGCCTGGTGTGTACACTCTGGCCTCCAGCTATGCCTCCTGGATCCAAAGCAAGGCGACAGAACTCCAGCCTCGTGTGGTGCCCCAAACCCAGGAGTCCCAGCCCGACAGCAACCTCTGTAGCAGACACCTGGCCTTCAACTCTGCCCCAGCCCAGGGCTTGCTGAGGCCCATCCTTTTCCTGCCTCTGGGCCTGGCTCTGGGCCTTCTCTCCCCATGGCTCAGCGAGCACTGAGCTGGTCCTGCTTCCAGGATGGATGCATCACACTCAAGGACAGGAGCCTGGTGTTTCCCTGATGGCTTTTGGACCCAGGGCCTGGCTTGAGCCACTCCTTCCTCCAGGACTCTGCGGGCTGGGGCTGGGGCCCCATCTTGATCTTTGAGCCCATTCTTCTGGGTGTGCTCTTTGAGACCATAACTGAGAGTCAGGAGTTTCACTGCCTGTAGCGATGGCCAGAGCCTCTGGCCCCTCCTCCACCGTGGACCAGCCCATTGGCCAAGCTCCTGGGACCCTTGGCTATGAAAATGAGCCCTGGCTGCCACCTGTTTCTGGAAGACTGCTCCCAGCCCGCCTACCCAGCCTGATGGGCACATCCCTCTGCCCTCTCCCTGTGTTCTGGGCTGGGGCTGCCTTTGTGCAGCTTCGAGGACAGGAAAGGCCCCAATCTTGCCCACTGGCCGCTGAGTGCCCCCGAGGCCTGACTCCTGGACTCCGGAGGACTGAGCCCCCACCGGAACTGGGCTGACGCTTGGATCTGGGGTGGGGGTAACAGGGCAGAAAGGATTAAAATGTTTGAGCACAACTCGCCGTGCGTGTGTGAAGTGAAATGAAGAACATCGGCTCTTGGCCTCCCCTTCCCCTCCAAAGTCCAGGGCCACCAGCAGAACTGACTTTATTAAAAAAAGGACAAAACAGGTCTATACATATTTACAGGCTGGGGGCCAGGCCGCTCACTTCTTGGAGAGCTTGACTTGCTTGTGCTTGGGGGGTGCCCACTTGAGGCAGACGGAGTCCACTGTGGGGAGAAGGGGTGGGAGACAGGTCTGGGACTGGGCCAGACCAGCTCACACCTGGCTGCCCTGCTCTGGGCTCAGGCCAGTTTCACCTCCTCCAGGTGAGAACAAAAGGGCAGGCTGTGCTGAGGAGGGGCAGAGAAGCCCAGGAATGAGAGGCCCGCCCCAGGCTCCATCCTGGGAGCTGGTCCGACTGGTTTGGGATCATGTGACAGTAATAAGAAGGCCTTGACTCCTAGCAGTCCATATACCAACACTCCCCCATCCCCACTGCCCACACACCCCTTTCCCGCCCCCGACACACGGCAGCCCCCCACCCACCTGTGATGGGTGGTTTCTTATACTGGGCACTTTTGAGGTGCTCCTCCACCAGCTTGGGTGTGACACAGATCACGTGCTGGCCCTTCCAGTACTTGACCATATTGAGGGACTGCAGGGTACTGATGATGTCATTCTGGGTGATGCTGGTCATCTGGCTGCAAAAAGGGATGAGAGCAAATGCCAGACATGGTGCCCTTGTGGGATCTGGCCAGGATGGCGACAGGGTATGAGGAGGCAGGATCATGGCCCATCTCAGGACAAGTCCTGCCCCCATGGTCCAGGAGGCCCCCTCACCTGAGATCCTTGATGGACAGTGTGCCCCGGAAGTCCCGCAGGATCTCCAGCAGCACCCAGGACCAGTAGCTGCGGTAGCTGAGCTTGCCCAGGTCAGACAGCGGCTTCTCAGGGGAGCCGACCGTGCTTTCCAGCTTGGAGAGCTCATAACCTGGCGGCAGTAGAAAGAGGAACTTAGAATCCAGCCTGCCCTGGCACCCCTGCCCCACAGGTCTCCCACTCCCAGACAGGCCAGGAACCACTCACTGAAAGCAATGAGGAACTTCCCGTAGCCACGGCGTTGGTAGGGGGGCAGGGTCAGGATGCAGGCCACGTTGTTTCCATCCGGGGACTCCTTCTCCTGCAGGAGGCAGGTGTTCAGGGCCACTGGGGAGGCTCTGCCCCCTCTCTGTTTATGCCCACCTTCGCCCTCCCCACCCTCCCCACCCTGAGCTTCCAGACCCAGTACCTTGGAGAAGTAGCCGACAATGTGGGCCCCCTGCCGGTCCACCTCAGTCAGGATGTAAAAAACGAACGGCTCCACGTCAAAGTACAGTGTCTTATGGTCCAGGAAAAGCTTGGCCAGCAGACACAGGTTCTGACAGTAAATCTGGGGGTGAGGAAGGGGAGACAGGCTCAGGGGGCAGGCACAGGTCCTACCCAGCTGGTTCCAGCGGCCAGCACCAGCCTGCAGGAAGTGGGCGCCTCGCAAGGCCAGACAGATTTCACACTGGAAGGAGTCTTCAGTCAGCCTCTGACGGACAGGGAACTGGAAATCAGAGAGCAACAGCACTTCGGAGGTGCCAGCAGAGCTGGACGAAGCCCAGCTACCCCTTCTGAGCGCCAAATATGGGCTGGGTGCCTTCCATGCAGGATCTGCTTCTGTCTTCACAGACATTAACTCTGTTTCAGCTCAGGACACTGAGGCTGCGAGGCAGGAATTCAGACTGTCCTGTTCATGGCTGTGTCCCCAGCACCTAGCACGAGGCTAACTATGAAGCTGGGTGCCTGGTAAATATCTGCTGAACGGAGGAGCCTCGAGCCCTGTCTGTCCACTTGGCCGCACTCCAGGAGGGGGACAATGGGACTGAGTTTGGCTTCACGGCACAGACTAAAGGGTTCCCTGGTTTATGACACCACTACCACTCTCTCATCCAACCCGGCAGCTGTGCGAGCCCAGCACTGCCAGGCCCATCTCATTCAGGAGGAAGCTGAAGCTCCCAGAGTGTTGTCCAGGGCCTCAAAGCTGGCAGAGTGCAGAGCTGGAAAGCATCACCACATCTCCAGCGGAGGCCCTTCTGCCATTCCACCCAGCCATGCTCAGGAAGGCAGAGCAGGGGCAAGGGCTGGGCTCAACCTGCATATTCTCCGAGTCCAAGGCTAATCAAGCCCCAAGAGATCACCGATAATAACAAGGCCCGTGTTTATTAAGCACTTACTAGTGCCAAGCACTGCACTGAACACTTGACATTTGCTGTCTCATTTATTCCACTAACACCACCACTAGGTAAATATTATGACTCCCGTCTTATGGACGAGGAAACAGGAACTATGTTAAGTAACTTGTCTGTGGTCAGTGAGGAAGTGACAGGGCAACGAGTCACCTTGCAGTGAGTGGAGCCACCCTGAAGCCTGCCCTCTCCGTCCTATGTTGTATGGCCCATCTGCCGGAAACCAGTACACTTGGCGAGACCCTCACAGACTGACAAGGCAAAGGCCAAGTTCTGTACAACAGCAGAGCAGGTCCCAAAGGTCCCAACCCACCCTGCTGAAGTCATTCCGGGCCAGGAACAAGGAACTCAGCCCTTGATAACCACAGAGCTCTCTCAGCAGGAAATTTCACACAAAGCAGTCCCCTCCCAGGCAGAAACAAACACCTTTCTTTCCAACGGAAGGAGAAAGCGCTTCTAAAAGCAGCCTCAGGCAAGACAATCTCCTCTGGGTTCCAGAACTCAAATTTGAACTTAACCCCACCAGCAGAAGAATCCTGGGGCCACCACAGGGCCGTGTTTCCTATGTACCAACCATAGGCCTAGTGTCAGGCTAGGAGGCCCTGAGAGGCCTTCTTTTTTTTTTTTTTTTTTGAGACAGATTCTCACTCTGTCGCCCAGGCTGGAGTGCAGTGGCACAATCTCAGCTCACTGCAACCTCTACCTCCCTGGTTCAAGCAATTTTCGTGCCTCAGCCTCCAGAGTAGCTGGGATTACAGGTGTGCACAACCACGCCGGCTAATTTTTTTGTATTTTTAGTAGAGAAGGAGTTTCGTCATATTGCCCAGGCTGCTCTCGAACTCCTGAGCTCAGGCAATCTGCCCACCTCAGCCTCCAAAAGTGCTAGGATTACAGGTGTGAGCTACAGTGCCCGGCCCCTCAGAGGCATTCTGCCCATAGAGACTCAGCTAAGGCCGCTCCCTCCCTCCCTTTTGGAGGCAATGAGGATCATCTGGGAGGTGCCCAGGGCCTCCCCGGCCTCCCCCAGCCCCCGGCCACCCACTCACCTTATGGTCTTTGCCATCAACTTCGTAGACGGAGATGTTGCTCTTGCGGTAGATCTCTTTCCCGGGGGGCTGCCGCCACTGGCACTGACCCTGGTGGGGGACAAGAGAACAGGCTCGCTGCCCATAGCTTCTCTGCTAGGAGGCCCCCACCCCACCACTACGTGCTTTGGAGCAAGTCTCTGCCTCTCTGTTTCCCCCCCACAACACTTCACTTGCATTGAGTAATCCTCCCAGCAGCCTTAGGAAAGCAATCCTGCTTTATAGACCAAGGCCCAGCACAGAGACGCAAACATCACCCAGCGGGGTGGGGTTTTGAGTCTCTGTGCGCCTGGCTCTGGAGGGACCCGTCCATGACAATGGCTTCCCTAAACCACACCTATTCGCTTCAGATTCCACACCTCTGGAAGCAGCCCACTGTGTCAGTGATGACAGCGCCCCTTCCTGACAGCCCCCAGTTTTGTCCACACTTAAGGTCCCACTGCCAGGGCCTATGTGTGCTTCCTGGGATGGGGCTGGCCTTGACAAAAGACCCGAAGGGGGTGAGTTACTGTCCCCATTCCAGAGAAGAGGAAGCTGAGGTCTGGAGTTGGCAAGGTCACCCTTCCAGCAACAGCAAAGCCAGGCCTGGAATCCAGGCCTCTTGACCCCTAGCAGCAATTCCCTATACTCGCCCCTCTGGGCCCGTCTCCTCCCTGGAGCTGCCAGCGCAGCCGCCCTCAGCCTCCCTGCCTGCCTCTGCCTCTCACCAGGCCCCTGCCCAGCTCGGCCCGGCCAGCCCAGCCTCACCAAGTGGAAGCGGTAGCTCTTCTCGTATTTCATGTACTTGAGGCAGTACTCGCAGAGCCAGAGCTTGGGCTGTTTCCCATAATCTTCGGGGAACGGTGAGAAATACCAGGCATCAATTTCGTAGTTCCCGATGTGGATCTTGTCCACATACTTCACCTTGGTGATCTGCAGGCAGGGTGGGAGTGGGGCACAGTGCATGGCTCAGCAGGGGCTCCTCAGCAAGGGGAGACAGGGGACCTGCAGGTAGCTTCCCAGCCCCGCTTACCGCCTCGTGCTCCTTCTCCAAGGCCGCTGTGGTGGGGTCCATCTCTGCATAAGTCTGGGCCAGGAAAGAAAAGTAAGCAGAGGTGAACAGAAGTGGTAACCAGGCTGTCCCTCCCCTGCCAGCAACAGCAAAGCCAGGCCTGGAGTCCAGGCCTCCTGGAATCCAGGACCCACAAGGCTTCCCTGCTGTCTTCCAGACCTCATTTCTGGATGGCAATAATAACCACACCAACAGCTAACCTGTCTGACTCAGTTCTGAAGCTGGCTGGTCCAGGCTCCTCTCGCATCCACCCGCCCCACCCCCGGATATCCCAGACATCCTTGATGTCCAAGTTTGGACCTTTTGCCAGATGAACAGGGTTAGGATCGGAATAGGGGCTTTGGCTGCACAACGGGGGGCAATCCAGCTCTGCCAAAGTTGTGAGACTCAAATGAAATAACAGATATTGCCTTCCAGGCCCACCATAAGAACTGTTACCATCTCCCCGATGTGCCTGGACCCCTTTCCTGAGCACCAAACCCTGCCTGCCCATGAGACTGCCCCAGAGGTCCCTCCCACAGGGACAGCAGACTCAAGATGTGCAGAAAGGACCTCAACACTCCTCCCTGCAAACCTGCGCCTGCCTCCTCCTGGGTTGCTCATTTTACTGGGAACATCACTCTTGGTCCCAATGTCCAAGACACGTAACTAGGCTTGCCTCAGACTACTCCCTCTCCCTCAGCCTGGCCAAGTCCTAATACAGCGATGCCGACTCTACTTCTGACATCTCTGGAATTGGGTCCTCTCTGGAATTCTCCTCTCTGTCCTTGCTCCAGGTAGTCATGGCCCCATCTCAGGTCTGGACAATTCACTAGGCCTCCTCAGATTCCCTGCCTCCAGCCCCAGCCTCCTCATTGCTATCAGCAGCCCCCTTTTTGCGGCCTTCATGCTTTAGGACAAACAGCTCCTTCCACCTGGAGAATGCCCTTCCTTCCCTCACTGCCAGCAGAAAACGCTTCCTCAGCCTGGCACGGAGCATGAGTCAGGTGAGTCCATGATGCTTTGTGATCTATCCTGGGTCACTGTTGTTATTGTGCTCTTTCCCATCCTTCAAGGCTTGAGATTCTTACCACCCACTCCAGGAGGCCTGACTGGATTTTTCCCATCCAGAAAACATTCGCTCCTTCCCAAGTTCAGTGAGAAGCGGTCAACAGGGCAACACCAGCCAAGTATGCCCACCTGGGTTCCTCTATTTTTCAAGTCCTTAGAAAGCAGAGACTAAGAGTCACACCATACTCACAGCACATCCTGCTCCTAGACCAGACCCTGCGGGAGGAACCCAGTATAGCCTGACAATGGAGGAGGGACCCAAGATGGCCCATGACCTACACCAGGACAGACGAGGCCCTGCCCTGTAGCTGAGAAGGAAGGAGCCAGCACTTTACCCAGAACCCCCTCCACAAAGCACTGTGCTTATATGGCCTCATTTAATCCTTTCAGTAACCCTTACATAGAATGTTATTTCCTCTTTTTTGAGACGGAGTCTCACTCTGTCACCCAGGCTGGAGTACAGTGTCACCATCTCATCTCACTGCAACCTCCGACTCCCAGGTTCAAGCAATTCTCCTGCCTCAGCCTCCCAAGTAGCTGGGACTACAGGCACATGCCACCACATCAAGGTAATTTTTGTATTTTTAGTAGCGACAGGTTTCGCCACGTTGGCCAGGCTGGTCTCAAACTCCTGACCTCTGAGCCACTGCGCCCAGCTGCATTCTTATTTCAATTTTACAGAGTAGTAAACAGGCAGGGCAAGGTGAGGTCCCTTGCCCTCAGGGACTAG